GGGAACTCCTGTGACTGCCCCCCCTGGAGACACCCCATGGCTCTGCCCCCCAGGGGTGCTCACCTACTGCCCTTGTGACCTCATGAATTCCCCCCGCAAGCGCCATGACCTCGTGACCCGCATCCCTCTGTGACCCCATCCCCTGGGGCCTTGCCCCCACCCCCATGGGCATCCTGCTGCTCCCTCCCGCCACTCTGTGACTCTGCTCCCTAAAGTTGTCCCCATCCCATGACCTCATGACCCCACCCCTGGGACCCCACCCCTTTCAGGCATTACTCCACCCACCTGGGGAATCCCCCATATGCCTGCCACCCTGTGACCATCCCCTGTGGGCTCATTCCACTTTCCCAAGGGATCCCCTCTTCCCCCTACCTCTGACCTCTTATGCCTCCATCCAGGGGTCATTCAACCCCTTCCCTTGCCCCCCAGTGCCAGTGACACGTCCAGCCTGGATAAACCCTTTATTCCTTCCCCCCCCAAAATATATATATATATATAAACTCTATAACCTCATCTCTCTCGTTCACACTGTACAAGCCCCTCTTGCCCGCCAAAGCCCTGCCCCCTTCCTCTTAACTGCCCAGTCCCCCAGGCGCCATTTGGCCTGGCATCCCCTGCTGCCCCCCTAGTAAAGCTGCTGTCTGCCCCTTCTGGGTTTTTTTGGGGTGCTCCCAGAGACCTCCCCCTGGCAGTGCTGGGACCCTGTGGGGTGCTGCCACGATGCCTGGGCTCCATCCCCCAAGGAGGTGGATCTGGGAGGGTCTCCTGGTTGGGGGAGATGTCCATGGAGGCCTCTGTCTGTCTGTCCATGGGTCTGTCCGTCCATCTGTCCGGGCCCTGCTCAGCTGTGCCGGGGCCGGATCTTCATCTCAGTGAAGGGGATGGAGAACTCAAAGCCTTTCCAGTTGTACCAGTTAATGCCCTGCAGGAGGAGGGGAAGGGAGGGGAGGGAGAAGGGGTGAGAGATGGACAGACTGACAGGCCCATCCCACTTACCCACAGTGCCCAGAGGTCTCTATCAGTGCTATAGGGCCTAGATCCCCTCCCCTCTGGGTCTGGCGGTGTCCAGATCCAGAGGGTCCCTGCTGTCTCCAAGGTCCCCCTCCCCTCTGCTCTATGTTGTCCCCATGGTTGATATCATTCTTGTACAGCCCGGGCCATGTTGGCCCCCAAAGGTTCTTAGGATCCTTGTACGGCCTGCCCCTGCCTCCCCCAGGGTCCTGGCTCCTCCGCGCAGCCCTGTATGATGCCCACCTCAGTCTGTGCTGGGTCCATAAGGTCCCCTTCCTGCGGTCCACATTGTCCCCGTATGGGCCCCTCGGCTGACTTCCCCCCGTGGTCTGTGTCTTTTCCACATGACCTGGTGCCTCCCCCCAGTCCCTCTCTGACCCAGTTCTCACCCCCGTAACAATCCATATAATCCCCATAGGGCCCAGTCCTCTCCCCACAACACATCCCTCATCCGTATAGCCAATGTACTGCCTGGTGTTCCTCCAGGATACAGCCCTCTTATGGTCCATACGGCTCCTGTATGGCCCAGTGTGCCTGCAGGGCAGCGCGGGCAGGTACCTGATGGTCCTTGTTGTTGCCGTACATGCCATTGAGGTTGGCAAAGTGGCAGTTGTGGTACCACCAGGCCCCGCGGTAGGAGACGGCGCATGAGATGATGAGGCGGTTGGGGTCGTGGTCCCGCGTCGAGAACACGCTGCCCGAGTGGTAGCTCATGGCGTCGCCTGCGGGCAGGGGCTGCTCAGCCTGGACGCCTGGGTTCTCACCTGTCTCCCTGCAGGCCCTCTGTGCCCTCCCAAGACCTCGGGTGACTGCCATCCCATGGACACCCCCCTGCCTTCCCCAGATCCTGGGAACCCCCTCCATGCCCTCTCCAAGACCTGGGGTGATTCCCATCCCCCATGGACCCCCCTGCTTCCCCAAGATCCTGGGAACCACCCCCATACCTCCCAAGACCCTTGGGACCGCCTCCCCCAGCTCCTAGGACATCCCCTTGGCTCCAGGGACTCCCACCTCCCCTCCAGGTCCCAGAGACTCTCTATCCCTTCCCCTTAGGCCCCATGGACCACCCCCTCCAAGGCATGAGGACCTGCCCACCTTCCCCAAGAGCCCAGGGCTCCCCCACAGAGGCCCCCCAGTGCCCTCAGACCTCAGCTCCCCCAATCTCCCCTGGACTCCATAATGACCCCCCCACTCTTCCAGGCCCCCAAGGAATCCTCCTCCCCCCTCCAAGACCCCGGAGATTATCCATCTCCCTCAAAATGTCAGCCCCGCCCCCAAAACACTAGGGACTCCCCCTAAGCTTGAGCAACACCCGCCATGGGCTCCAAGGATGCTCCATCCCTGCTTGTTCCTGCGGTGAACTCCCAATTGCCCCAGAGGTCAGGGATCCCTTATCCCCCACAAGGCTTCGGCTCTCCCTGTCTCCTCTGGTGCC